CCACTGAAACCCCCTTCTCCAACCACCCCCCTACAGTCCTTATACCTCTCACCTCAAAAAACCAACATTCATCCACCCCTTGTTACCCAAACCCTCAAGAAGAACTCCTTGAACTTGAAACCTTTCTTCATAAGGAAATTTAGGACATTTCGAATCACACAAATTTTCAATCCAAAGATGACTCCCATCTCAACCAATCCAGCCACAAGTTCTCTGTTAGCTACCTCTCGGATGAAGATTTGCCCATCTCAAAAGATCCTCAATCTCCTCAGAACCACTCAATTCTGCAAGAAAAAGAAGTTTTCACCACAGTTAGCAGGAGAACTTCAAAAAGGTTACAAGAAAAACTTTCAGCAAGCAGTCCTTTCCCAAACAGTTTTTAAATGAATTGCTTATTTTGGAATATTAATGGCATAGCCTCTAAACTCCAGAGACTAGCCATCCTCATCCAGCAACACAAATAGCAACACAAATATCGTTTGCTTTCATCATTGAACCCAAATCCATCATCAAGAAAATCATCAAGTTCCAACTAGAACTTGGATTCACTAACTCCATCAGCACTTCCAACAACAAAATCTGGTTAATGTGGAAGGACACCTGCTTCAACTACATAAACCACTTTGAAACAGATCAAATCCTCACTGCTCACCTAACTTGCCACATTTCAAACCTGGAAATCTTCATCAGTGACATATATGGCAAACACACCATTGAAGAAAGAAAAGATCTTTGGGGTTCAATCATGGCTCACAGCAAAAAAGAGACTCAAGCCTGGATTCTTGGAGGGGATTTCAACACCATCACCTCTTTGGACCACTATAAAGGCAAAAGCTCCCCCAATCTGCAAGGTATCCAAGAATTTGATCACTGCATCATGGAAAGTGGTCTCATTTCTCCCCCATTCTCAGGCAACCCCTTTACATGGACTGGAATCAGATCCTTGGGCAGGGTGTGGAAAAGGCTAGACAGGGTTTTTGTTAACAATACCTTTCTAGACAATTTCCAAGAGATTAACTCCATGCATATTTCTAGGGGAACTTCAGATCACTGTCCTATTTTGGTAAAAGCTTCTAATCCCACCTTTAATGGTCCAAGACCATTCAGATTCCTCAACTGCTGGCCAAATCACCCTACCTTTAAAGCTCTCATAAGCAGAAACTAGGGCAAATACTCCGGAGGAGGCATGAGGGGTCTCATGAATAAATTGTTCAATCTTAGAAAGGAACTTCATGCTTGGAACATGACAGTCTTTGGGAATATTTTCAGCAAAACAAAAGATCTTGAATCCTCAGTGCTTGAAGAAGAACTTCTTTATGATGAAAATCCCTCTACTGAAAATAGATCCCATCTTCATCATCAAAAAGCACTTCTTATTCAAGCAACAAATAATGAGTTCACTTACTGGAAGCAGAAAGCAAGCATCAAATGGATTAGAGAGGGAGACTGTAACACCTCCTTTTTTCTTTCTATTGTTAAAGAAAGAAGGATTTCTCAAAAGATTCATAAAATCAGGTCTGGGGATGGTCAGTGGATTCAAGACAAAGATGACTTGCTTAAAGAGGCCAACTTCTATTTCCAGCAACTCTACTCTAAAAAGGACAGTGAAAATACTAAGGATTTCCTCTCACACATCTTTTGATGACAATAGTCTGCTTACCCAACTCCCTAATGAGAAAGAAGTCAAAGATGCCATCTGGAATCTGGACCCCCAAAGTGCTGCAGGCCCTGATGGATTCACTGGAGAATTCTACAAAAGTTGCTGGGATATTATCAAGGAAGATGTGGTAAAAGCAGTTCAGGAATTCTTTCTAGGAATCCCTACTCCTAAAAGTTTAAATGAATGCTCCATTATCCTAATCCCAAAGAATGATAACCCCATCACCTTTGAAGATTTCAGGCCTATTTGTCTTTCAAATTTCATAGCCAAAGTCAATACTAAAGTTATATCTCATAGATTAAGAGACTTACTTCCTAAATTAATCTCTGAGGAACAGGGTGGCTTTGTCAAAGGAAGACAGATCCATGACCAAATTCTGATTGCCCAGGAGATCATCCAGAACTTGGACTACAAGACAAGGGGAGGCAATATTGCCATTAAGCTGGATATGTCCAACGCTTTTGATAGGGTATCTTGGGACTATTTACAAGCCATCCTAAGGAAACTGGGGTTTGATCATAAATTTATCAATATGATCCTCAATAATCTTAAAGACACTACCCTCTCCATCAACATAAATGGCTACCCTTCCAAACCCTTCCAACCCAAGAGAGGGCTCAAACAAGGAGACCCACTTTCTCCTCTTCTTTTCATTTTGGCAGCTGAAGGATTTAGTAGGGGCCTGCACTACAGAGTCAACACTCTAAAGATTGAACCTTTTAACATGGGGAGACACTCACAAATCATCTCTCACCTAGCCTTCGCAGATGACCTTCTGATCTTTCTTAAAGGAACAGCTCAAAATTTGGCTAGATTCTCAAATTTCCTAAAAGCTTATGAAGATGCTTCAGGGCAGACCATAAATCTTCACAAAAGTTTTTTCTACCCTCCAAAGAAAACCCAAGTGGCACAAATCAACAGAATGGGAAATTACTTGGGCATGAAGAGAGGTTCCCTACCCTTCAAATACCTGGGAACCCAAATCCACAAAGGAATCAACAGACTCAAATATTGTACTGATTTGCTCAACCACTTTGATAACAAGCTTAAAGGCTGGTACAAAAAATTCTTATCACAAGGAGGGAGAATGATTCTAATTAAGCATGTCCTTAGTTCTATCCCTCTACATCTCTTTGGCTCTTCTAAACTCCCCAAGAGTGTTATCAACAGCCTTCACACTAAGATGAGCAATTTTCTCTGGGGCAACAAAGAAGGGAAAAATCATTATCACTGGAAGAAGTGGGCTGCCCTTTGCTGCCCAAAAGAGGAAGGAGGTCTAGGTTTCACTAACCTTGAAACCTTACAGGAAGCATATGGTCTTAAGATGTTGTGGAGCTATACTCTCAATAACTCCCTCTGGGCCAGGTTTATGCACAACAGATACCGAGCAGGTCTGGAGACAACTTGCAAACCTACTTATTCTCCTAATTGGAAGAGACTCCTTTCAGCAAAAACCATTGTTGATTCCTACGAGAATAACCCCTTCTTGGACACCCACACTGGTTTTATTATCAGGAAAGCCTATGAAGCTCTGAGAGAGAAAACCCCCACAGAAACATTCCTAAAATCTGTGTGGCATAAAAAACAGATCCCATCTATTTCTATCTTCCTTTGGAAAATCTACTACAACATCCTCCCTTTCCCTAAACAACTCACCCGGTTTGGGCAAAACCTTCCTTCTATATGTCTTTTTTGCAGGAACAATGAAGACAATGCGAACCACACACTCAAGGATTGCAGATTCAGTAAAAATATCTGGGCACACTTTGAATCTAGTTTCAAGATCACGACAACTACAACACATGGAATTTGCTCTTACCTGTCGCTCTAGTGGAGGAGCAATAGTATTGACCAGCAAAGTCAAGCAGAACGCAAGGTGATTCCAGGGATCATAGCGCACGAAATCTGGAAGGAGAGAAACAGAAGAACTTATGACAACGAATCAAAAACCGAAAACCAAATCATCCATATGATCTGGAAAAAGTTGCTGGAATGGACAATTGTAAAAGGAAAGAGGAGAATCAGCGTCACTCACTCGTCCATCCCATTCATTTCATTACCGGCAATTCACACCTTCCCCTAGACAAACGCAAGGGAAGGGATGATACTTAGTACAGATGTTGCGGTGAAAGATGATATTATGTGTGGCGGAGCAATCCTACGCACAGGCACAGGAAGATTCATTGGAGCAAAGTCAGCAATAATCCAAGGAACAGAAAACAGTGAAGAAGGAGAATTGGTTTCTGCACTAATGGGCCTCAAATGGGCTGTTAGTATCACAACACAACCCATCAACATCCACTTAGATGCAAAAAATGCGGTGAAACGAATCACGGAGAATAAACAGGAGGACCTTTTTAGTAACGAGATTCATTAGCTGCTGGCAAAAAATAGAGGTCTAGCAAGACATATTTTCAGAGAGGAAAATACGGCAGCTCACTCTCTCACACGTTACGCTCTCACAAATAACTTGTTTCGATCATTCAATGTATTAGCACAGTTACCTCCATCTGTTAGAGGGGCGATCCACTGTGACCCCTTTTGTACCTTTATTCGAATCACTTAATAACATTTTCTTTCTATATATATATATATATATATATATATATATATATATATATATATATATATATATATATATATATATATATATATATATATATATATATATATATATATATATATATATATATATATATATATATATATATATATATATATATTTGCCCGGAAAAAAAAACCACCAAAATCAGTGGGGTAAGGTCCGAGCTGCCTTACCAAATTTATAAAACAAGATTCAAACACGTTCGGGGAGGACTAGACCGAAGCCCCAAAAGTAAGAGATACAACAATATACTTAGAAAGAGCAAATACAAGAAAGACGAGCCTAGTCGACTGCCTCTAACTCTGAAGCAGCTTCCTAATTTGATCTGCAGCGCAACGTCCATGGGATTCATTTGTCCTTGGAGAGGTAAGGTTTGAGATTAAGAGCTTCAATTTCCTCCTTGCTTGCAATCTTCTGTACTTTCTTGTTGGACCATACCCAATGTTGAATCATTTTCTGGATTTCAATGGTTATCCCAATCCTTGATTCCATTGTGTCTTCATAGATGCTTCTGTTATATGCTTTCCAAAGATTCCAAATGATACAGCCAGGTAGAACTAACCTTAATAATCCTCTTAGAGATGTTTTGCTATGTGACAGCCACCACTCCAACATGTATTCCCTAAGATCCATCGCATTAGTCCTGGTGGGCCCCGTAGTATAATCTGCAAAGTCTTTCCAAATACTCCTTGATAAATCACAAGTAAGCAAAGTGTGAGAATCTATTGCCTCATTGTTATTGCAAAATGGACATTTGCTAGGCATATTATAGGGATTTGGAACTTATTCCAAGGGAAGGGTAAATATTGGTTAAGAGCTTTCCAAGTGAAGAGCTTAATTTTAGGGATTTGGAACTTATTCCAAGTCAGTGTGTTGATTTGAGTGCTGACATCCCTCTCTCTAACAGCCCAATATGCTTCTTTGAAGGAGAAATTACCATTGACCCAGCAAACATTTTGGTTGGTAATTGTAGTGAATTGTAGACCGATAGGAGAGATTCTACATATTCTTTTCCAAGAAGCAGAGTCATAAATCTTAGCCTCAAAAGTTCCTTCCCTTGCATATTTGTTCTTCATAAATCTGGCCCAGAGAGAATTCCCTGTAAGAGACTTCCACCAAAGTTTTAAAGCTGAGGCTTTCTGAATATCTTCCAAGTTCCTGATCCCCAGACCTCCCTCTCCAGTGGGTCTAGTTAATGTGTCCCATTTGGCCCAATGGTAATGGTTCCTTCCTTCCTTGCTCCCCCAGAAGAAGTTAGCCAGTTTGCCATGTATGGTCCTAATAATGGATTTAGGAAGATCTTGGACAGCAAGGGTATGCATAGGAATTGCACTTAGGACATGCTTGATAAGAATGAGTCTACTCATAGGGTTAAGCTCTTTACTATACCAATTGTTGATATAAGCATCAAAATGGTGAAGAATATGATCACAGTGAGTTTTTTTGAGTTTACCCTGAGTGATAGTAGAACCCAAGTATTTGAAAGGAG